GATCCATTCTTGCATATGTAATTTTATACTACAAGCTTAGGTGAATATGACACGGCAGTTTTTGAGAAATGTCAGTTTTAGCTTTCAAACTGAGAAGAAGAAAGTTGTATCTGATATTCTTCGAATAATACCGTCGGAATAGGCTGAAAATCTACGGTTATACTTACCTAAGCTTGTGATGTAAAATTACATTTGCAAGAAGGGCTCAGCATTGCTTTGAAAATATCACGAAAACTTTCGCTTTCTCAGCTTAGTCAAGGAAAAAATACAGCAACTGCACATATGGATGTCTGATATTTAAACTATTGACGTATGCGAGTGGAAGGATCATAGAAATGATTTGGAGAAGATCCAATTTTTTCAATTTAGACATTTAGGTATCTTTAGATTCTGTGTTCCAACTTGCGTGGATCAGACTTGGCGCGAAATCATGGATGTCAGCTTGTAGGGCTTGCTTTGCTCTATCGAACAATTCCCTTTACCCTTTTTTTTGTTTGAGCCTGGTTGCTTTGTCAAAGTAAGCATATAAAAAACGACATTATTTTCTCGACAGTTTAATGATTCAATATTTTTGTTTTCTGTTTTCTGTTTTCGATATGATTTATTTTTAGACAGCCTCAGACATGTAGCAATTTCGTTTCAAAAACCAACCTCAAATTGGGCGGAATTAACTACAACGTCATTCCTGAAGCTTTCGCGTGGGTATTTGATATTGACTGTGTTCTAGAAGTTGCTTAATGCTTTTATCGACGATTAATTTTTAGGAAAAATCGATGGATTGCTGGTGGTACAACGCTTGTGGTAGGTTACGACGTAACTCATCCTGGAAAACCTTCGAGAGATGAAGTTATGAATCATATGCCTCCAGAGAAACCCAGTATTGTTGGTGTAAGTTGGCTCTCTGAATTTTTTTTGTCTAGCTATGCCGCCCGTTTAGGTATCTTTCAATGGCGCAGCCCATCCCGAATCGTTTATCGGAGATTATCATTTCCAGACTCCGCGTCAGGAAAGAGTGAGCTGCAAGTTTCGCGTTGTTGCATGATGAACGAGGAAAAATTTCTTGGGTTCAGGTCGACGGTGCTCTGTTGAACGCCAGATTCAAATGGATGCTTGACTTGTTCATAAAGAATCGAGGAGTTTGGCCCGAAAGAATTATCATCACTCGCGATGGAGTCTC